ATTGTCTCCCTCCCCCCCCCCAGTTTCATTCCCCAGCAAAAGCTATAATTTCATATTGTAGTTTATTAAATGCCTTTTGGCATTTTTTAAAATGGTTATCTTTGTATCTTGATTTATTAATTTGAAACAGTATGAGTTTTCTCTAAACTGTGAATGAGTAATTTCGACATACTTATACTTTCTCCCATCTCTCTCTTTTCTCACCTGTATATTTTCATGGCCATGTTACTAATTTCCTGAAGTCAAGTTGTTACTTTAATTGCCTCCCATGGGCCAATAAATTGAATCTAAACCATAGGATTGCTGGGCAGACTGGCCGATGAGATATGAGGAAGAGTCAAGGACTATTGAGGCTTTTGGGGCAAACCCCTGGGTGCGTGGAGTTTCCATTCACTGAGAGGGGGCAACTATAGGAGGGGGTGTATATGTGTTGACTTTGAGATGCCTGTTAGATGTTGAGATTCTGGAGTTCAGATAAAAGGTTGGAAATGCGAATTTGGAGCTTTCAGCAGAAGAGAGTTCCAAAGGCCTCCAGGTGGGATAATAACACCAAGGGAGTTGATAAACTAGAAAGGGGAAGGTCCCAGGCCTGAGCCCCGAGGCATTCCCAAGAACTGGGCTCCTGGAGACCAAGAAGGTGTGGTCATTGATGTTGAAACTGAAGTCCTGCTCCATTGTTTTCTAGAATTCAGAGTTGCTGATAGGAAGTGTTAATGCCGGGGGATTCTCAGTCCTTGTTTGGCGTCTGTATGGGGTGGGTCTCTTCCTTGCTGCTCTTCCACCCCCGTGGTTATTCCATCCACGCCCCACCTGCTTCCCCCAGAACTGCTCTTCCAGGACTGAGCTCTTCCGTTCCAGCTGCTTTCTGGAGGTTTCCTGGTACTTCTGCTAGGACGCCACTGGGCTTCGTGGGCCTGCCTTTCATGCCCTTTCAGCTCTGTCTGCACGTATTCTATTTGCTTTGTTTTGGGTATTGCCTTGACTTTATTCAAACTACCAGCCAGCTTTATGGCTGCTGTCCTCTATTCTGTTTTTCTTCTGGCAATCACTTTTAAATTTCCCCGCATTTTGTTTCTCTCTGGAGGGTCCTCAGAGGTGATGGCAGCTTGGAAGTAAGCATAGCTATGGAAACAGACACTGGTGACTTCAGGAAGAGAGTAGACAGGCCTTACTGCAGGGTTGGACTTGGGGGTTGAGGAAAAGGGAGGGTTCAAATTTATCTCCTGTCGTTTACAACTGTATGAAGCTTATTAATTTAGAACTGAGGAAAAAAGGGTGCATTTGCTTTCACCTTTTCTAAAAGCTTACATTGTTAATTTCAGAGCGTAACTTTCCAGATTAACGCTGAGTATTTTGCCTTGAGATCTGTTGGCATTAAAAAAGAGAAGAAAAAAAACGGCCTTCGTTTTACAGAGAGTGTCCTTTCGGCCCTGGAAGAGTTAGTCAGCGTCGCTTGTGGTGAGTGACACATTGATAAATTCGAGTGTTTTCCGCCAGAGCCTCAGGGTTCCTGTGTATGATTAGAGCCCCAAAGATGACTAATTCTAGGGTCAATGTTTGTTTCACCTCCAGAGGAAGTAGACGGCTGCCCTGTCATTCTGGTTTGTGGATCTCAGGACGTTGGAAAGTCAACGTTTAATAGATACCTGATTAACCAGTTATTAAATAGGTAAGAGTGTTTTTCTTGTTTTGACATGTTACTCGATTTGGGGCATGAAGTAGGAGTTTTGACTTAAGAAACTGGGTGGGAGTGCCTTTTGACTTCCAAGTAGAGGTTATTTACAACTCTGAACCAAGCTGCTCAGCTGAGTGATGGCATTGACTATTTTACTGTGTTCCTGAAGTGAGGTGACAATGTCTCGGGGTGTACTGACCTTGCCTGTCAGTGAGCTTGTGGGAGGAGTCACTTGGTCTCAAAATCTATATTTGTCCATATCCAGAGATTCAGAGTAGGGATAAATTCTGCTATCTTTTAAAGGTAAAATTTTAGGAAAGACAGTTGTACCATATTATGAACGGACACTGACCCCATTACATGTTCTCTTTACGAATTTTTTTAAAATATGGATTAAACGTTCTGCTAAAAAACCTGCCTAGGGTGGATTATGACAGTATCACATAAAATCTTGAAGATCTGATTTTTCCTTTTGGAACAGTAAAGCTAGTTAAGATTTCCTTTTAAATTTTCAGTATTTCCTGCGTTGATTATTTGGAATGTGATCTGGGACAGACAGAATTTACTCCTCCAGGTTGCATTTCTTTACTGAATATTACAGAACCAGTTTTAGGTATGTATTCTATATTTCTTAAATGTTTTGGTGTTATAAAATGTGAGAGTAATGATACTTAACAAAAAAACCTCTAAGGATATAAAAGTCTCAAATATAAATGTGAACATCCCTCCACTAAGCTCATGGTCTTCCCATAACTGTTTCTCTAGCCTCCAAAAATTAAAAAACAAAGACATCTTCTAGGGTTCCATTTTAGTAAATGGAACTACTATCCATTTTGTTATATGTAAATTAGAAATATACTTACCTTTTATATGAATATCTTATTTAACCCTATACAACAACCTGGAGCAGGAAATTAATGTTGATAGAATACTATTAATTAGTCTATAGATTTTATTCAAAATATGTCAGTTATCCCACTAATACCCTTTTTTTGGTTCAGAATCCAAACCAGAATCCCACATTGCTTTGTTTGTTTGTTTGTTTGTTTTGTTAATCCTCACCTGAGGATATTTTTTCCATTGCTTTTTAGAGAGAGTGGAAGGGGGGAGGGAGTGGGGGGAGAGAGAGAGAAACATCATCAGTTGCCTCCCTGACTGGGCCAGGCATTGAACCTGCAACTCAGGTGCGTGCCCTTGACCGGGAATTGAACCTTCAACCCTTTGGTTCCTGGGCTGACTCTAACCACTGAGCGCACTGGCCAGGGCATGGATTCATTACTCTTTTTATTATTTTATTATTTTATTGGATTCATTACTTTTATCTCTTGTCTTCTTAGGACCACCTTTCACACACCAGAGGACACCACAGAAAATGGTATATTTTGGGAAATCTGCTTGTAAAAACAACTATGAGAATTACATTGAAATAATAAAGTATGTGTTCAGCTCCTACAAGAGAGAGTTCCCTCTTATCATCAACACAATGGGCTGGGTGACAGGTAAGCCCACAGAGGCACATCCAGCAGAAAAGGACTGGCAGTGGGAATAAGCTTTTGGCTTTTAGACATTACAGCTGGAGCCCAGTTTTTAGGAGAGTCTCCTGGTCGATCTCAGAATAACACGGTGTTGTTTTGGTGCACTGACTGCTAACATCATCTCCTTCTGTGCAGATCAGGGACTTTTGCTTCTCGTTGATCTGATCCGATTGCTGTCTCCCAGCCACGTCGTTCAGTTCAGTTCTGGCCGGAGTAGATTCATGCCACACCTCACTCCCGACTACGTAGACGACATGGATGGCTTGTATACAAAAAGCAAGTCCAAAGTCAAAAACAGAGGTTTCTACCTGGAAGAATTTGCAGAGAATTTGGAATATGGTGATGAAGAAAAGGAGAGTCCAGTTGCATTTACTGGGCATAAGCTGATGTGCGTCCAGTCAGACTTTACGTTTAGAAAAACTCCAAGAAATAGGTAAATAAACCATTGTGGCTGGAGAATTCAGTTTTCTTCAGTTTAAGAAGGCCTTCTGTCCTCAATTCTTTAAAAGCAATAAGTCCTGTAAGATTTTTCAGATCTCTAGCACAGCTGTATGTGTGTGAAGGAGAATCTGTTGTTTTCCCCGTGGAAATATCCAGAGTGGTCTCCCGCTTTGGTTACCAGGAGCTGTGACAGAAGGAGAGTCTTCCTACTTCATGTTTTCCATTGGGGTTACAGAAAGGCAGGGTGTGCAGATTCTAAGCTGTAGATGTAATCTACATAATGACAAGTGTCCTCTGTTTCGAGTGGGGGGTGGACCTGTAAGGGGAAATCTCTCACTTCCTTCTGATTTACTTTTCAGAGAGTCACATAACAGAGTTCTTCGTGACTTGGCGGTGTTGGGTTACCTTGGCCAGCTGCAGCCCCCAGTGCCAAAACCGCTTCGTCCCCTACATGGTCTGACACCCTATCAGGTATAACCTGAACTTGTGCTGGGATCGGCTTTGTTGTGTTGTTTACTTAGCAAACACTTCTATGGTTTCCTGTGTGCCAAGCGCTCTTCTAACCACTAGATAACTCCTTTCTCATTTAATCCTCAGAACCAGCCCATGGTGTGGGTTCGGTGACTGTCCCCATTTTGCAGGTGGGAGGCTGAGTAATCCAGTGGAAGTGGCAGAGTTGGCATCAGACCCGGGCAGTCTGGCTCCAGGGTCTCCAGGGTCTGTGTTCTCAGCCCCTGTGCTGTGCTGCACTCTCCGGGGCACAGCTCTGGTTCCATGCTGGTTAAGAATGTTCTCTCTAAATCCCACAGGTGGCCCTGGGATTAAACCCAGACTGTCTGATTCTAGCACTTCTGCTTCAGAGCTGTGTGTGACTTAGTTTGTGACTCAGTTTGTCGTCTGTAGAATGGAAGCAGTACTTGACCTGGTAGAATGGTGGTGTGGAGCCAATGGTGGGTGCCTGGTCCCCAGAGAGCACTCTTAAAGCCTATCATATTATTGCCGAAAGTAGATTCCAATACCTGAGTATTTGCATCTTGGGATCCAAGCTCTTAAGAATTATTTTGAAAAAAAACCACCTTAATATTAGGATTCCGAGTGATGGAAGAGTAAAATAGCAACAGGTAGCATTTCTTAAGTGTTTACTCTGTGCTGTGCTCTGTTTTAAGCCTGTGTTTACTACTTTACTCACAGCGGCCCTGTTATAATCCCCATTTTACAGATGATAGGACTGAGGACAGGGACATGGAGTCAGCTGACCCAAAGGGGCATAGTAAAAATTTGGGCTGGGACTGCAGCCCAGGCAGCCTGACCCCAGAACCCAGAGCATTCATCCTCTGTTGTACTGCCTGTCCGCTATTGAGCCCTCGCTCTATGCCAGGCGCTTTGCTAAGCTCATTACAGGGAATGGCTTGGTGACTTCCTGGCACCTGTGAGGGGCAAACTAGTATGTTCCCTGTTTCCAGCTTAGAGAACTGGGCACAGTCAGATGGAGGAGACACAGGCCGAGGTCACGCAGGCAGGAACAGTGGACCGGGACCGCAAGACTGTGCCTTCCAGCCTGATGCTGAGATTGGCTGCAGGCCTTCCAGTTGTTTCCACCAGAGAATCTGAGTGGAGTTTTGCTCACTTAGAGCAGTATAACTGAATTTGGAACTTATATGCCAGTATTTTAAACTGCTTTTGTTATTTCAAATTTTGGGGGGGGGATCTAAATAATATGTGTAACAAAATACTTTTCTACTTTAAGAATTTGAAATTACCTAGAAAGTTAATGTTAAATGTAGTTATTTATCTTGTGCTCCAGGAGTGTGATGCGTTTTTTTTTTTTTAATATGTTTTTATTGATTTCAGAGAGAGGGAAAAAGAGTAGTAGAAACATCAGTGATGAGAGAGTCATTGATCAGCTGCCTTCTGCATGCCCCCTACTGGGGATCGAGCCCGAAACCCGGGCATGTGCCCTGACTAGGAATCGAACCATGACTGCTTGGTTCATAGATCAGTGCTTAACCACTGAGCCACACCAGCTGGGTGATGCATTTTTCTTAATTCAATATTTTACATTAGGCAGTGAATGGTGGCTTTTTCTCACTGAATGTGTTTTGACTTTCTTACATTAGAGATCTGAGTGAATGGGGTGTTCACAGTCTCCCACTACTGAAACTCCTTTAGGATATCTACAGACTTGTGTCTTATGTGTCTCTTTAGACAAGAAAGTTTCGGGCATTAAGTTTAGATTTCCAGCAAGTGTGGATTGTGCACAAAAACTTAAATTTTTTAGGTTTTCTGTATTAAAGCAGTGAAACTAGAAGCAAATGCTGGTTGGTGTTTCCATTCTGTTTAGATACTTTTTCATAGTCAGTTTGGCAGCTATAACTTTAGGTAGCTGGCTAGTCAGCTGATAAAAATCAAAAGTAGTTTCTCAATTAGAATTAATAGAGGTGGGGGTTAGTAAAGGGTAAAGGGGATCACATATATGGTGACAGAAGAAGGTTGGACTTTGGGTGGTCAACAAGTGCAATATACAGATTATGTATCATAGAATTGTACACTTGAAACCTTTATAATTTTATTAACCAATGTCACCCAAAAATTTAATTTAAAAAAAAGAATTAATAGAGGGAGATGCACATTTGTTTTCCAGGTCCCTTTCAATGCAGTTGCCCTTCGGGTTACTCACTCTGATGTCGCTCCTACCCATGTACTGTATGCTGTGAACGCCAACTGGGTTGGTCTTTGCAAGATCCTGGATGATGTCAGAGGATATGCAAATGGACCTATCCTGCTTGCCCAGACTCCAATCTGTGATTGTTTGGGCTTTGGTGAGTGAGAGTGAAACATGTCTATAAACCTATTGAAATTGATCCACTTCTACTGTAGATGGCTGGTCTTGACCTTATAGCTGTCTTGACTGAAGTGGTCAGAGAGTTTATCTGTCTCCAAGTACAGTGGGCCTCAGACTGAATGGCAGGCAGGAAGCAGCTCTTTCTTTGCTTCTCCTGCCAGCTCCTCTAAATCCAGGATTCCTAAGAGCCTAGTAGTGGCCTTCTCACTTGACATATTTTTTCTAGGCCATCTCACCCACTACTGGGACTCTAAATCCATCTTTATGCTGACTTCTGTAGGATCTTTAGCCCAACCGTGCATCTGGGTTCCAAGCCCATGTTTTCAGTGCACTTCCCTGCTTGAATATCTCACTTACATCTAGGACTTAGTTCCAAAACTGTGGTCCTGATGAATCCATACACCTGATGTTCTCCCCGGGTCCCCTCTTCCCCACTCCATACCACCTCCTGTTCCCTTAGGTCCTTCAAATGGTCCTTCAAAGATTCAAGCAAGTGTTTGGGCCAGACCCCTGGGTCCTCGGCAACCCCTTGCCTTTGTTCTCCACATCTGACCCACTGGTAGGGCAGGGAGCTTCTGTTTCTGAAATACTTGAGATTTCTCCATCTCATGTCCTCACTGTGCCAGTGTGAGCATCATGTCTGCACTGGACACTGGAAATGCTTCCTAACTGGACACACACTCACGAGTGATCTGAGCACAAACGATGATGTCACATCCTGGCATCCTGGCATTTCCGTAGCACAGGTTCACCGTCTGGCCTGGGCCTTGCAGCTTTGGCCTCTGTCTCCTCCACCAAGCCCACCTCAGGTGATTGTCCCTTGGCTCATGAGGTCAATAAACATCAGTGAATGTTTCTGGAAGGGTGACCCAAAATTAGCAAAATCTTTAAATAATTACACATTTCTGGTTTATGCAATACTGTACTTCTTAAAACATTTCCACAGAAATTGTGTCACTTTATACAGACCATAAAGAAGGAATGGGTGATGGGAAAGGTTGAGTCATCTCTGTGTCCCCACTAGATGTCTCACTTGTGTGTGCTGGAGGTGAGATAGTCTAGGACTTTGGCACTTAGGTGCCTCACAGCTGAACAAGGAGAAGCTACCAAGTCTTCTGATATTCATATACTCCATTTCTTGCCACTTTATATTTTTAAAGCAAAACCCAGTTGAAATCGAAACTCTCTTACTTTAAAAGCCATTCTGCAATTTGGAGTGTGTGTGTGTGGGGGGGGTGATATCTTGCAGAAAGGGTGATTTTTATGTGCTCTGTGCATCTCCCAGGAATTTGTAGAGGGATCGACATGGAGAAGAGGCTTTACCACATCCTCACACCTGTGCCCCCAGAAGAGCTAAGAAACGTGAATTGTCTGCTGGTCGGAGCCATTTCCATTCCGCAGTGTGTCCTCAAGAGCCAGGTGAGTATGGCTCCTAGGGACAGCCCAGGAGGAAGCTGGCCATTTACATAGGAGAGAGAGTGAGAGCCTGAAATTGGGGCGAGAGTCATAGATCAGGGTATTGTTGGGGAAACTTACACTTTGTTGTAAAGGCTGGAGGAGGCAAGGTGAGTGAAGCAAGGCCATGAGCCACCACCGCCCGTGGTCAGGAGCCCCATCGGAAAGCCCTTATTCCAGGAGCAGGTTGTGGGAGAAGAAGTGGCCTCCCCAGGACTACCCCTTTCTGAGACTGAGGACGTTCTTCAGGTGCTTCCACGGGAAGGTCATGTTGGCCAAGAGCATCTGTGTGGTTGCCAAGCCATACACTGCAGGGTCTATGAGTGGCCTGGCTGTTCCGCCCCTTCTTACCTGCTTGTTTGAGAGGGAAACACCCACATTTACCTTCTTGAACTGCTTAATGTGTTTGTGGAGTGAACTGGACGGAAACAAGGCAGACACCTTTGTATCTGAACCAGTGCTTTGAGGGAAGGGAGCAAGGGTCTCAAAGGGAGAGGACCTCACTCAGGCTCACTTTTAACACTGTCTTCTGGGGGAGAAAGATTGGGTGGATTTGGAGGGTTTCCATGTTTTTTCTGTGTTTTCATTTCAGCATGGGCTCGAGGGAACAATACCTTACATCACGACAGATTATAATACTAGAATCCCTGGAGCATCAGGGGAAATTGGAGCAAGAGAAGCTGAGGAAACGTATAAAGAGAAACGACACCCAAAAGCTAAATTCTATCGAAAAGCATACTGATGTTTTTAACAAGGGAAGAAAGCTTGACTTTGTCTCCAGCCTGACATCAGCACACTGAGGGGCTTGTGTGGCTGGGAGTGGCGACCTTTCGTAGCAGTGTTTCCTCCATAGTTCGTGGAAGTTTATAGTCAGTTTAAATCCTTTCTTAAAGCTGCGTGACCTAGTTTCGCCCTAGTCTGCTGTATGATTCATCATACGTGATGTTTTATTTTCTAAAGAGAAAAAGCAGCAGGGAAAATGTTGTACGCCGTTGAAACTAAGAATATGATCGATTCCTCAAAAAGTTCTTCAAGGACCTGACTGGCTGTTGGAATCTGGTAAAAATGGTGAGCCTGGGGCCACAGAAAATGTACCAAGGAGGAAGGCAGGCTGGCCAGCGGGATCCAAGCATAACAGGACATGGAGACGCATCTTGCCCCATGACGGCTGGTGGGGGAGGAGGACCGCTGGTGCGGCCTCCCTGGGGCTGGTCGCAGCCCCATGGTCATTCCCATCCCCTGATCATATGATCCTATCCAACTTCTCTTCCATTCCTGTGGGTCAAGTGTTAAAAGATTGTGTTTAGACTTTAAATTTAGTCAAAGTTTAACAGATGGAAGTTTGGACTCAAGCCTTTTTTTTTTTTTTTTTAATCCACTGGTTTTATGCTGAAAAAAAAATTGCTCTCAGATCCAGGAAACCTCTCCTGGGGCCTCTTTAGAGATTTGTCCTAATTGACTTCTCATCTGAGACTGAAGACAGCCTAGGCAGAGCTGTTTAGAAGAAGCCCTGGCAGGGTAGCTCAGAAAGGCCTATTCGCAGGGCAGCTGGACCTGAACTTGTACGTATGGAGAGCTCTGGACTATTGAGCACTTCCTCCTGGGGTGCAGGAGACTGGTGATGGTGCCATTTTCCCAGACGGAGATCTGTCCTCTTCTCCCTGGTGCCCGTGATGCTTGATTCCTTGTCCTCCCGGTTGGAGCAGTTTTGGCATGCAAGGACGGGTGGTCTGCGTCACACCATTCCTGCGTTGAGGATGGTGATACTTACTGAGAGAGCATTTCCAACTGGTATTGTGAATTTCAGCTTCCTAGCAGATCATATTGAAGGAAGTTGTTAGGATTTGCAGGTTTTAACATCTACATTCAAGTCACTGATTATCATTGTCTTTGCTCAGCCTCTCATCGACTCACAGACGTGCAAATTCTCACAGGAACCCTTGTCACTCCAGAGTGAATTTTAATATGCTAGAGACCATTTAAGGTCTAACTTCTTCGTTGCCTTTTATTTATATTTAAGTTTACCATGTACATGTTTTTCTATTTTGGCTTTGCAAAGAATTTTAAGACAGTCCACCACCATCAACTTTTTGCCTCCTTCCCCAGTTCCTGTATCTTTATAATATTCACCATAAGTCATTAGCAGCAAGTCTCAGAATGAAAGTGCTGCCCTGTTATTTGCCTCTTCATTAAACCCAGGCTTGCCTTTAGCCTAACCTCTTGCTGGCATTTAAGGATGTGTTCTTTTTCCAGTCCCCACCTGTAAAGAAAACAAGGTTGCCACTAGAGGGAGTTGTTAGCCACGGTCAGAGGGCCAGACCCTCTAGAGTTGGCCACAGAGCCTTTGG